AAACAGAGCAACATTAGTGCGAGTATCAGGAAGATGGGCATAAATGCTATTTATGTTCATAAATAATTTTATGCCCATTTCTTGTGTATTGAAAGTGGGACAAGCGAGATAACTCTAATAATTTTGTGCGTACTTGTTTTTGGAACAGCCTCAGTATCAGATTGAGTACAATCAGTGGCAGCGCCATATTTGTATGGAAATACAATTTTATTTTTGAACAACCCTCCCACCTCTCCCTCATAGTTAAAAAATTATAGTGTTCTTAATTGATGTGAATAATTTGACAATATTTTTCCATATTTCTTTTTTCAGTAGGTAAGGCATTTTTACCTTACCCCACCTTTGATGTAAACATTTTATACAGTAATGTTTTGATCTATTTGGAAGTTGCATGTAGTGATATTGGTATCACTGCAAGGTTTATAAATGTAAATCTATCAAACTACATTTTCATTTTTGTAATAGTTTTATAAAATTGTCATTTGATAATAAATGACCTTTTTCAACTTCAAACGGTGTTGTGTTGGTATCAGATAGTGTAATATTACATCAAACAGAGCAACCTTAGTGCGAGTATCAGGAAGATGGGCATAAAAAGCGGTTTATTAAAAAAGCGAAAACTGACCCAAGTAATGTTATATCGTATAACATAAGTTGAAATAAGCTTCATTCCATATAATTTAATTTCAATGTAGACAATGATACATTTTTTTCCTTCGGAAAAATGCTTCAAATATAGAATATTTTTAAAGTTAACGTCAAGCGGAGTAATACGTTTTGACGTAATTCATTGTGACGTAGGCAAGTTATGTTATACAAAATGGATAAAACCGTTTAACTAATCAAATGACGTGTTTCAACTGAAATTAAATTATAATTCTACCACGGTTATTGAAAACTTCAAAGGAAGCCGCCGGACATTATTCTCCAATAAATCACGAACGTCATCAAAAAATTATCAGATCAGAAACACGTATTAAATCTGAACAATTCAAATCCATGTATGGCTGTAGAATGAAATACTTGTTTAGACCGCATCGATGTGTCGTCTTTTGCAGTATAAACACTGTAAATTGCATCAAGTTGCTGATGAATGTCGGTTTTTATAGCTAAGCGGGGCTATTCCACGGACCTCCCTACACATTAAACAACGTGATTTTAGCAGTAAAACAAGAACATGATTTTGTTTTTGTATATTCATTTTAACTGATCAATACATATTACGAACAAATTTGTAATTTAAAAAGACTATTTTTAATGCAACGAAAGCTCAAATCGTCTGCATTCCATATATAGGTAAGTCAACAAAATTTCTCACTGGAGTTAAATAGAACAGCGTAATCGAGACATGGTGACCTAATTCGTTTCTCTATAGAGGAAACAATCGGCTGTATTTATCGCCCTTGGTAGAATAGAAATAAAGTCCTTGTTGTCGTGAATGATGCAGAATAACCTCCTCGGTCTCGAAATGTTGTTTGAAATATAAAAGCCTCGGCTAACGCCTCGGCTTTTATCTTTCAAACAACATTTCTCGACCTCGGAGGTTATTCTGCAACATTCACGAAAACGCAGACTTTATTTCTTAATTATTTAATGAACAGTATTCAAAATCAAAAGTCCATAAAACAATACAAAACAGGAGCAGAACAAACACGGTCCTACAAAAAATCGGAGGTGGAACTATGCGTCATGAAGATGTGAGCATCCCTTTTCGACCGGTCAAAACCACCGAGTGCTCCTTGACCTGATCGGAAAATAACGAAAAATTCCATTGTAAATTCAGTGTACATAAAGAATTCATTAACGCTAAATATGATAATTGTCAGTCAGTATTTGACTTGATGATAAATTGTATTTGCGTACAATGTCGTATCGACCATAGATCATACGAAATGGTGACTTTAAACGAATTGGGAAAATCCTTTTAAATCTTCTCAAGAATTTTTCTGACTAAATTTCACATATGATACAGTTTTCAGATAGTGCTTCAAATATTTAGAATATGTAATTACCGCTCGTTATTATTAAATTTTTATTTTTTACGCTGATTACGTATTATGTTAACATCAAGTGCTTAAGTATTGCTTAGAATGAAGCCGTTTTATTAAAAACTATTGAACCTTTAAATTTATTTAAAAATGTGCGTACCATATTCCATTTGGTATTTAAGGGTCTTCTCGTTCTTAGAAGCACAAACAATGCTAAAATGACAACAGAAAAGCTTTTCCACACTGCTCAGATTGGAAGCTTTATTTTATTGATAGTCTCTGCCGTGAGCGGAACACAGTCCGATTCAAATACACTAGATTCCGCCAAGTTTGGAGATGCCAGAAAATGCCTTGCAGAAATGGGAAACGGCGTTACCCGTTTCGGAGTTTTACCAGGAACGGGATGGGATAATCTTAGAAATAAGGTCTCAGGATTGATTGTTTCTTTCAATTATTCTGAGTGTGATACAACCGATGATGGCAAATATCTAATACCCGACAATGTTTTCACGGTTCCGATCAAAACAAGTGAGGTAGAAGTATTAGGTGAATATTTTCATCACTGGACTGAATATATTTCAACAACATCACATTCAATCAATATTGGTTCCGGGTTTAATGGAAAGTTTCAGATAAGCGGGGCCTTTTCTTTTGAAAAAGAGAGAATTAAGAAAAATCAAATTGCGAACAATGCAGCTACAACACGGGTCCAGGCAAGATATGTCCGTTATTCAGCCAAACTTCAGCAGACTTCACACCTTAATCCAGAATTTCGTCAACAAATACAAAACATTGCAGAAAATATACAGAAGAATTTTTCTTCAGTAGCTGAATATGAAAGTCAAGTACTGGTTCGAGATTTCGGCACACATATCGTATCGAGCATTGATGCGGGAGCTGTTATTTTACAAATCGATGAAATTAAGTCGTCTTTTTTGAAGAGTGTGAACGCAGACAGGACTAAAATTATCAATTCGGCAAGTATAAATTTTCGGAAGAAATTCAAATTCTCTATAGGTAGCAGTCATGAAGATTCTTCTGAGTTCATACAAAGCTATGAGAAAAATAAATTAAGCAGTTTTATCCATGCCCAGGGAGGACCGATTTTCAAGCCAAACAACTATTCCTTGGATGACTGGGCATCGGAAGTGAAAGACAATCTGGTTTCAATCGACCGTAGCGGCTCACCGATTTACGAACTAATTAACCAGCGTAACTTTCCAAAATATTCTTCATCTGTTATTTACGCTAAATTTCAACACGTGAGGAATGCAGTAGAAGAGTACTTCAGATTTAACACTTATCGTGGGTGTACAAAATTTGATTCGCCTAACTTTTCATAAATGGCCAACTGTGATGATGGCACATGTTTAAATGAAATGGGCAACTACACATTCGGAGGAATTTACCAAACATGCACACAAACAGGACAACTGTACAAAAATATATGCACACGCCAGAAAAACCCTTTAACAGGAGAGTATTCTTGCCCAAAGGGATATGAGTCGGTATTCCTGCTTAAAGGTCAAACTTCTTCTTCAGAAACTCGTCAAAGGTGTACATCATGCGGTTTCCTTTGGCTATCGACTTGTTGTTCAAATTATTATGTATATGGCATTGCATACTATGAAACCTATTGGTGTGTAGGTATGGGTAAAAATTCTCATCACGCCGGTTTTCTTTTTGGAGGAATTTATACAAGTACTATAGAAAATCCACTTACCCAGGAACACGAATGCCCACTTTATTTTTATCCGCTCACCATGAGTGAAGATATTAAAGTTTGTGTATCAGACGACTTTGAACTAGGTTTTCGATACTCTGTAGCGTTTGCTGGACTGTTTAGTTGCAAGTCGGGTAATCCATTGGCCATCATGAAAGAAGAGGGGGACAAAAACAACACAAAAAGCATGAGTTCTTACCTCTTGTCGGCCAATTCTGATTTATGGCCCCGTGCCTGTCCGACTGGGTATAGCATGCATCTGGCAGCTTTGGCAGAATCGTGTGAGGTTAATTACTGTGTAAAATCAATGTCTTTTGCCAAGCAAGAATTTCCAAGAATTCGAAGACCGCCATTTATTGAACTTCCTGGCGAGGCATTTTTAAAATCAAATGATGGCTATGCCACATACCAAGCACAAACTGGATCCAATCAGTCCCCTACTGGTTCTGATGTTCCGACAACTTCCCTATCTGGAGAAAAGAAGACTATAATAGCATTGTCTGTCGTACTATCTTTGGCACTTATTGCAATTTTGGTCATTATTGTCCTTTATTTTGTAAAAAGGCGAAGAAAAGCAAAGAAAAATAACGAAGAATCATAAATTTGATTTTTATTCATTTATTCAATGACATTTTGTGATTTTTTTTCCATTGCTCATAATAAAAATATTAACTTTTATATTGATTTTTAGTAAATTGATTTTTTTTCGAATCAGAATCGATGTTATTCAAGCTCAAAAGTTGAAACAATACTAATGAAAGGATATTATTTACAAAAAAAAAAAAAACCCGGACGAAGTTTTCTTTGTCCTCGGGACACACCCGTCGTATGCTCCATTTCACGATGAGAAAAACAAAAACAAGTTCAAGTTCGAGTTCAATTTATTCACTCAGACCAAATCAATGGTACATGAGGTTCAACAATATATGTACAATATATACAACAAATAATATACAAGATACACGTGAAATGGCGGAAATACATGGCGGGAATACTAAATACATTCGTGAAGTAACAAAAATAATTATAGAGGACAGACTTTTTCATAATATACTCTATTTATGTAACTGCATAGTCTAATTCATAGTTTAGAGTCAGCAGATGACAACAGTTCTGATAATTTGAAAAAAAATTGGTCTATTACAATATTTATTGGGAAAATATTTTTTCCTACAATCCGAAAAAATTTACATTCTAAAATGTAGTGAAACTCAAACATAGTCAACATGGTCAATTCATAGCGAAAATAAATTTAGGCAATTTTAATAATAACGATATGATTTTTGGAGAGTTACATGCAGAGCAATTAATTTATCTGCATCTTCCGCCCATCAGCATTTTGAAAAAAAGGCCGATGAAACAACAATCAATAAATCAAAATCTTGATCAATCACAATCAGCTGATCGATGCAATAAGTCAATCTATTGAATCTGTGTATAGAATGCATTGGTAGCTGGTCTTCAGCATAATTTGGTAAACTATCCTTATAAATAAAATGGACAATCCAAATGATACATGCATTAGTGATCCAGATCTAACACAAGCAGGCACATCTTTATCTCCTAATGGTGATATTAACGACAAAAATGATTTTAGTTAATTACAAAGAATATGGGGGACTTATGTGTTACTATTGACGTTCGCATCGGCGTTGGCATTAGAAATTAAAATGCTTCCAGTAGTTTTCTTTTTAAGTACTTCTCTGCTATACATGAATCATAGACGCGTGGAATATGCATTTAGTTCATACCGTATACATAAGAGGAAATGTTAGCGAAACGCAAATTAAGCTATTTGTCCAAAAAGGAGGTCATTTATATTTAGTGAGATGTAATTTTTGCGACTTTAAAATGCTCACTAAAGAAATTATTACAATTAAAACGAAATTAATTTTAGCGACTTCAATTTTAGCGATATTAGCACCCTTGCTAATAATTCCAAAATTAAATCCGCGCTTAAAATTCTGCTTATACCGTATCTCAAAATTCTTAAAACAGGTCTTTTTTAAATTAAAGTAACTGTAATCTCTTTGCTGCATGTTTAATATATCTCGCTACTGGACTTGCTTTAGATGTTTAATTTGACCTATATTTTCCAGATGAAAAACAGATTTAAGTTTTCTTGCGCAGATAAATTACCAAAATAATATAAGGCCTATCTGAACCAGTGGATGATGAATCAATTTAGGGATGAAAACTCTTAAGTTTTACTTCTGTGAAATCACAAATTTTCGTGGGTGTTTAATTTTCGTTGTTTTCGAGGTATGAATTAAAAGTTAACTACTCAATAATTCTACATCCAGGAATTTAAATTCCCACCAACGAAGATTTTTTACTCAAACCACAAAAATGTGACCCCACGAAAATACTGATTTTACAGTAACATTTTTTCGATAAGCAAGTAGTGTGATGTTATAAATTTGGATAAATCCATTCCAATGTAACTCTAGGCCATATTATGAAAAACTGCATAAATTTTGTTACCTTAGTTTTGGTAATGTTCTGGTAATGTTTTTGTAATGATAAATTGTCAGATTGAGTGCACATGTCTTCTTTCCCTATGTCAGTTGCCTTTGGGTGAAAGTTGAGTACGGGTAAAACAACCCCAAAATGACTTCTGTTTATTTTCAAATGTTAAAAATTTATTATATTTTCTGTAAGCATTGTTTCAACAGCTATAAAGTGTTCTGAGGGAAACGAGAACATATCGTCTTTGTATTTCTTGAGCGGGCTCATGCAGTTCCGTGCAGTTAGATTTAAAACAATAGACAGTTACGAACATTGCATGAGATTTTCATAAATGAATTAAATAACAGTTTCATAAATGACTTTTCCTTCAAACTTTGATGAGAATAATTTTTAGCGCAAAAAATTAAAAGTAAAAACTTATTTACACATAATAAACCTTAAGGACAGATGATACAAACTTTTCTTCAAAAGATATGAAATTAACAACCTGAGTCATGCTTCTATGAGTAAATTTTTTATTGATATTTTCACAAAAATAAGATTTGAAGTGAAAAGTATTTGTATAGATTAATAAGGATGAATTCAGAGAGGCAGAATTTCAAACATCCAGAAGGTTTACTAGAAAATTCTAGAAATTAGTATTTGCATCATTTTCCAATCAAATTAGGCAAAAAATAAAAATAACAAACCAGGCCTCCATTTCTTTGTTTGTATCATCTGTCCTAAATATATGATGTGTTTTTGAAAATCATAATAAGTGTCAAACCTATTCAAATAATATTTAGAAAATTAGATATAGCACTTCTTCCTACGTCAGAATATTACATTTGAGATTGAATACTGTTCGTTATCTCCATATCCTTCTCGAAGGTATAAAAGGAATATGCTATATATATAAGTATATGTAATTGTTCTAATGGAAATTTAATATTTAAGTTATCACTGTCTATCTACATGTAGTATAGTATTCCAGGGCATCAACGATGGTGGGAAACATGGGATAAATCATAAATCATTCCACACTTCCCACTACCGTGGATGTCCCTGACATACTATATTACCTAGACAACGATTCCTTATATTTCCATTTCATTGTGAAACAAAATTGTAGATTTAGATTTGAAAAATGTAGACTCATAGGTTTAAATTACTCTCATGTCAATTTTAATAGTCTTTGCCCACTGACAACAAACAAAAAGACAACCGCATAAGATTTACATGTGCATTACGAAGCCTTAGCTCCTAACCTATCAATTTGCCTAATTTACATTCCGGTAGAAGTATAAAGAAGTTAACTCCATTACTTTAAAGAGAGTTATTTTTTAGAAAACTAATAGAAATGAAACTATTTGGTATTCTGAGGCATGATAATTAGGATAATATTAGATTCATAAAACTCATTCAATTCAAAATTGTTTTAAAATTGTATGTAAATGTTTTTTGACTGTAATTGAAAACTATAAGCAAAAGGAAATAAAAGTCAGTGTAACCGTCATTTTTTGACTTGGTTTGTATTTACCACTCAAAGATTCATCATTGAAATCAGGTTTGAAAAACTGTAAGTAAAATTATAATTTTGTACTAAAAAAACATCTCTTTGGTTTCTTACGACAGGGTAGGTCACTTTTGTAGTAAAGAAATGAAAATAAAAGTTATGGGGAAAGTAATGTCATACATTCCTACATTTATAAATATCCTTTATTGATAATACTTTTGTTTTACGGTAGAAAAATCTAACTTTTGAAAATCAATTGTATAAATATACACAACAATCTTTCTAATGAAAAACTGATCAGATTGAAATCTCTGAATGTGTTTCTCAAAATTATAATCTAAACATAGATTAATAAATTTTCCTTTCTTAAATGCTTTCAAATTTCTCTCAACAACAGTATGAAATGAATATGCATGTAGGTATGCAAAAGATGTAACAGGGTTCTCCATGAGCTATTTTACTGTGTATCTCCCGACACAGTAAAATTTTCTCCAACACAGTAACGATTCAATTTCATGCATGCGACACAGTAAAAATTTTGCCGACACAGTAACAGTTGTGATAATAAGAAAATCTAAACACACAAATTCTCTCTCACTGAAACTTGAATCAAACAATTCTACTGTCTTTCAATTCAAAAAGTTATTATACTTAAT